CATATCTCTTTTAGTTTTTTAAAAAATCGACTGTATAAATTAAAATGGCCCACCCTGTATATATTCCAGTTGAAACTCTTAGGAAAGCTACGTGTCGAATTTACAAATATACTAGAAGCCAAAGGCGAACAAGTACGTTCGTCCGAAACTGAGCTTCTGTGGATCACGGACTTTCCATTGTTCACGTTTGAAGGAACATTACAATCGACGCATCATCCATTTACGCAACCGCATCCAGATGACATGGAATATCTTACAACTGACCCCCTAAAGGTCAGCAAAAGTAGTGAATTATAATTTTGTCAGTTTCTTTTTTACGTATATCTTCCTTTCATAGGTGAGAGGCTTACACTACGATTTGGTTATGAATGGATCGGAAATAGCAGGTGGTTCCATTCGAATCCACGATGCGAATTTACAGAGACAAATATTAGGGATGTTAAGCATAGACGAAACAAAATTGTCGCATATGCTCGAGGCATTGACGTATGGAGCTCCACCCCATGGTGGAATAGCTATAGGTATTACTCGTTCGTATAATAAAGTTGCATCTGTAAATTGAAATAGGACGTGATCGTTATTTCTGCTTCAAGGACTGGATCGTCTCGTTTGCTTACTTTGCAACGAAAAAAGTATAAGGAATGTTATAGCTTTCCCGAAAACGATGGAAGGACGAGACTTGATGTCCGGGGCACCAGACGTTATTTCAGACAAGCTCAAGACTTTGTATCACATACAAACAGTAAACGAATAAAATTTCTTTTCTCGCACAAGGTAGAAAATTCACGTAATTCTCTGTAAATTGTGCGTGTAAAGAATATATATATAAATTATTTATATAATTAACTGTGGCAGTTTTGAGACGTGAATATTTTTGCCAGTAAGTTATCATTCAAGCTCTGAGCAATTATCAGAAGCATATATAGCGCCGCAAACAGAATGAAAAGGCAAAAAAATAGATGTACAAAAAAAGTGTTTTATTTCATTATTCTTTTTTTTAGTAAACTCGTGCGCGAAATGTTTTTACAGAAAAATAAAAAATACAATTCAGCCTGCATACTAAACTATTGTTAACTACCCATTTCCAAGAAGGATCCGAGAAGATTCCTTCCTTTTTTTGTACACTTCTTGAGAGCCTCTCTCCTGTCAAGTGAAAATTTCAACCTAACAAATTTCTTAACAAATACGTCGTGATATGTCGTGACAACCAACTGCCGGCGGACGAAAGTTTACATCGCTTTTTGTTCACATTTACATCCATCTTGAAACAGCCCACAATTGAAACGATTATATATTAACAAAATGTCATTAATGACGATGAAATATCTGTTCAGTTTGCGATGCGTCAAATTTGTCAAAATTGTTAAAAAGACCCATTAATCAAGATTGGTATCTGGTCGGTCAATCTTCTTGCGGTTTTTAACACAGAAAATAATACGGTACATCCGTACATAAATTTCACGTCTACTAGTCTCTTGGAACAATGTCGAAGACGAGTGTCACATTTTTATCATATCGTTATATGTTTCCAATTGAAATGAATCAAGTCGGGACGTCGAGTGCATCTCATCAATTTGAAGCAAATCCCGTAGATGAAATCCAGCCAATCAGGATGCAACAAGAGAAACGTCACGTTCTTTGATTTGGCGTATGCTCTCAGCAGACGTAGACACGTTATACACAGTTTCGTGTGAATTTCCGTTCCCTTACGTAGATCCGAATCGCTCCAATTACAATGCGACGCGTCTATATTGTCATACGTTCCTAGTACTCTAAAACGCATGCAGCTTACAGCAATCGGCACGAAGCCCTGCCCGGTACCGATCGCGCGACGAAATTTCCCCCGAGGGTCAGGATCAACAGCGAGCGTGGGTCTTCCTATTTTCATTCTGTCCAATTGACTATCGGAAAGCAATTCGCACGAAGACTTAATGTAGGAACTTGGAAGAATCACAAGATCCGCCATCGAGTGTCTCTTCCGTTACAACGTACCTTTTTGTGAACGCAATGCGAGCTACATCAACGTGAGAACCATCACATGTAACATCTTTCTTACGAAACGCACTTAACTTAAGCTAGATAGCTTTCTCCCTAGATTTTAAGTTTTGCTTGCTTCGCTTGTGGGGCTTTTGTATGTATGTATATATATATATTTCTTAGATTAAATTCGAGTTCTCCAAATCCCTATATTAAATGACCGTATGAACCAAGGAGCTTAATCGAGGAGGGACGTAGTCATGTTCACGCAACAGTCTACTAAACCCGTTAATGTCCGCCGGATCTCTCAAACAACCAGGCTCTCTCGTCAAACACCATCCTGTACGACGGCGGCATGACCTATTTCGCTCTCGAGGCACCTCGTCCTCGCATCGTACTAGCTCGTCAGGACCCTCGCGAATTTATTCGGTAGAAAAATCGTCGGTGTAACGATGAGGTGTAAGAACAGTACCAGAGTTGGCTTTAGTAGATAGACACGTACGCGGGACGTTGCACGATTCTTCGTGTACAATGTGAGCTTTGCTCGTATTCCTACGAGACCGTGTGCTTACATCCGTAGCCGACCGTACAATTTTTAATATAATAAAAGAGTTTGGGCGAGAGACGTTAAATTCGATCGATAAAACCGTTTACTTCCATCTCCTTTGCAAGTCCTAACAGCGCGGCGGTAATACAAAGATATTATATATTACAATTTGTTGTGCGCGCGTCCACTTTTTTTCCCTACACGCCGAAGAGGAGAATACAGGGTTTCGTATCGTTGCTTTCGGGTGCGAGCTGGTTCGCCGACCGAGTAGGGCTTCGAACCGGCGGTTTAATCTATACGCTTAACGTAGCGGTAGTAATAGTAGCAGCGGTATAGTCGTAATAATAGTACAGTCGATACGCTCTCGGTTTTAAGGGCTCTCAAAATTCTCGACGTCGAAACGAGATTGAAGGCGCGGGCCCGCGTTGGCCGGGCGCTCGCTCGGTTGGCTGGCAGTATGTACGTGTGTTGGATTGTGTTTAATCTAAATACGTGGATCATGTTTCCGTGACATTCGAAGCAATTCGATTGACTCTCAACCCTTTTGCCGCGCAGTGTCCGTGTATATAAAACCGCAAGAGAAGAGACAAAGTGACACCAGACTCCCCAATTCTGAGATAACATTCAACAAGGTCGGTAGTCGGATCTTATTCAACCGTCTTAAGTTTATCCTAAGATGCTGTATAGATCATTTTTCATTGGAGCACATAAAGACGATCCCAAGACGATTTTAAATATAAGATCTTTGAGTACTGGCCCAAGTGTCTCTTTGAAGTGTAATTAACAACAATTGAATCGCGTATGGTAATTGCAAATTAGAATTTCTATGCGAGGCCTTAATGTGCAACGTAACGTTAACACGGGCAAATGCGTTCGAGCTGCTGAACGCACGTCACGCGTGCTTTAAATTATAAATGCAATAAATATTTATAATCTGAAGCGCTTTTCTTAGACGCTTGGCGCGCCCCTTATATCCTATAGACAATTTAAAAAAAACGAAACTAGGTGATGCGCTACTCCTAAGAGAAACTGATTCTACATTGACGGTGTTCTCATCAGCGTGAACCTCGCAGGGGTGCTCGAACACGTCGGTCGAAACTGTGCAGCCGAAGGGTCGAGGTCTTTGTACTCCCCTCTGCAATTAGTTCTTTCCTCCCCCTTCTCCCCCCTTGCGAAAGCGCACGCGAGATTCGTCCTGCGCGAGTTCACAAGGTACGCCCTATCAATACGATTCTCTCGTCTCGCACACCACGTCGCCGTTATAAAAAATACTATTTTACAACGCAGGAGGCTCGCCCATGGAAATCGCACGCTCACACAGACGGAACTTTGCACTGGATACAAACGTATAATAATCACTCGCACAGTACAACCATTCGTTCATATACACATGCACGCACGCACGTACACTCTCTATCGAATAAAATATATGCCACACGCTCTTGCACGAAATATAGGTATGTCAAACGGAGACGTCTAGAAAAGTCTACAGGAAATAATGGATACTATCGTATATACATGCACGAAATGATGGAGACAGGAGCGGCGGGCGATCGAATAGATCGAGCAATCGTCGAGTTTGGATCGCTATAGTGTATTTTTTGCACTTCCACGGGAAGCGGGATTGAAAAATTGCAAAAGAGAGAGAGAAAGAGAGAGAGATCTGGGGGGGGGGGGGGAACGGAAGAATCGGACATTCGTACGATCGCAACGTAAGACTCGCCGTCGCGCAGCTTCGTGCGATCGTAACATCTGTACGCTTTACGGACAGCGCGGGATACAGCGAAGTTTCTTTCCTCTCTTTCTCTGACTTTCTTCTCTCACGAAGAAACAAAGCTAAATGTGCGACGACGCTCGCTTATTCGTTCGCGCCGCGTTATTCGGAGGCAGAATAGAACTCGGACGTCGAGTCTCACAAGTCGTTTTCGGGCTAGTACGAAGCTCCTATGCGTGCACGTGTTGCACGTGTACATACGTATAAATAAGATTTTGTTCGCCGAGAAACAACCGTGAGTCGTACTACCGTCCAATGTCACGTATAAACGCCGAAAAAGTATTGCCGGTTGAATCCGTGAAATACAATTACATCTAAAAGAAGGGAAAGAAAGGAAACAAAAATCGCGCTTTCTACAAACGTCAAACGTGTTTTTTACCCGGCCCGCCGGTTCCACGAGCGTAGATTACAAGCGTTTACCGTATTGCAATACGATAAACGTGAAAATGTCGCTGCAATATCATCCCACAACATCTTTATCTATTCGTAAATTTGCGACAGGTCTCCTTTTCTTCCTTCCTTTCCTCTTCCCCTTGTTCCTACACCTTTACCGCCGATGAGATACAAAACTGACTTCTTATCGTGCATAATAAATATGTTCGGTCACTTTATCGCTTTCGCGCCGACGCGTGTCTCTAGTGCGTCTTCCGGTACATCCTCGTCTTCGACGACAGCTAAGACCGACGCTGCCACCATCGACGAAACCTCTCACGCGATGACGAAGACACACGCGAAAGAAATAATCTCCGACCTTCCTTGGGGAAAAGCACGGTTTGTTCCGAAAGCGACGACGACGGTAAAACCTTTTCCCTCGTATGTCGGTCTCCTCTTCCTCGCTGTCTTCAATTATTGGTGCACCAGGAATTCGTCAAAAGTATAAATTACGTTCTTCTCTCGCCTTCGAATATGTGCGTACGCGTTTGTACACAGAGCGCAATTAGGGGCGGTATTCATAGTCTGATCTTATAATCTTAAATACGATCTCGAAACTGTAGTCATTTAGTTGGCTGAAATCTTAAATCTGTTTGTGACCAGAGTCAAAACTATCTTGAATGTAAGATTAGATTACAAGTACCGCCCTAGGTGTTTTCTTCTCTACGTATAAGAACTGGCATGGCCGCATACAGGAATAAGGAAGATCTCGGAGTCGACATTGAACGATCTACGAATTTGAACTTGTACGAAAATTACTTCTGTTGACTGAAGAGGTGATATTTTCTATGTATCATATATATCTAATTACATGGTTCGTACAGCTTTAAGTTTTCACTCGTAACTATGAGATAAAACACGTTATCTCGCATTAGCTAGAGCTACGTATGTTGAAAGTTAAATGGGTGGTGAGATAAGAACTGAAGGCTGATGACTAACTCTAAGATCACGGTCAGTTACTCGTGTCGCAAAATGGACAAAGTTATCAATGTCAAAATTAATATCACAAAGAACATTGGAATTCCATTTTGCGCAATGATTTTCCAGTGGTCTCGATCAGCCTAAAAAACTTATCCTATATACGGCCGTGCGAATCGCATGATATTACAATCAGATTTGATACTTAACGGGCTGCCTGTCGAAACATGGGATCTGAATGACTATTCGGAGAGCGCTCGCACGTGCCTTTGCTTAATTAAGTGAACATATTAATGTCGTATCTGAAGCAACGTGCGTGACCGGTTATCAAAAATGTAAGGCGTTAGACGCATGTAACAATGTACAGTGCAATTTCACCGTTGCACTATTGAGCCGAGAATAATAAATCGCTGATCCGATTTCGTCAGTGCACAACGTCTCCTTGTAGTGCATTCAATCGCACGAGGCTGTATCATACTCGAATACGCAAAGAATCTTGTCTCTCTAGCTGGGTGTAAAATTTCCTACGTTTAGCTCAACACCCGAAGTTCTCGAAGACGGTATTGCTCCCAGACAGTGTCGTTCTACGTCGTAGGCGTTTTGCAACAACTAGCGCGACAAAATTCGGTAGTTTTCTCGAACACAATCGGGCAAGGCGGTCGAGTGCCCGGGAACGGACGAAATCCAAAACAAGTTGGCCCTTCCTGCATACGACACGCTTCGTTCCGCGTTAAACACCATTCCATACAGATACGCAGGAAGAGGCTGTGTATAGCAGACACATTCGAAACGTTTACAGGACATGGATCATCCTATATTGGTATAATGAAGACAATGACGTCGATGACGACAGCGATGGACCTTGTCGAAACGCGAACGAGCGAGCGATGGTCCAAACGTTCAGAGTTCCCTCGTGACTTGTTGTTTGCTCCCTCGGGTACGTTTCAGAACTGGTATGCCGCGTGTGACAGCTATTCCAGTTTTGTACATATAATGTAAATGCAATGTAAATGTATTCGCTCGAACGAGTCATAAACATCCTCCGACTGGTTGTTATTCTCAACTGTGTGTCCGTCTCTCCCCCTTATCCCTTCTCTATTACGAGGCATAGACTCTGGCGTTGTTCCGCATATTTTGTCGTAAATTAGTCTTATGCGTTTTCATCGATAGTGGGTAGCCAGAAGGCCATGTTGGTGCACGCAGATGCCAACATCATGTACTTGGGATTGAATTGAATACACTGCACCGGTGCTGGATGGTCACCGTTCAACACGCAAACTTTGTAACCGGTCTCTGCATTCCACACGTGCACTCTACCATCCGTGGAGCCACTGAACACAAACTGGGAATCCGGACTAAAACTGGCCTCTATGGCGATCCCCTTGTTGTTGAGATATCCGGCGAAAGTCTGTAAGGGCGTACCATGAAAAGCGTCAATTAAACGAATCGTACTACCATTAGTAGAGATCAAGATGGTTTTGCCGTCCCTACTGAACTTCAATCCGGTCCAATCGCACTCTTTCTCCTGGGAGAGCTTGAAGGTGACGAACGGCCCCTTGTCAAAGCTGCGGAGATCGTATAACTTGATGTTCTCGGAATTGACACCGGCGGCGAAGATGAGACCTTCGGGATCGTATGCCGCGACCGGACGTCCCGAGACGTTCATCACCCCGTGGCAATTGGGCGAGCGCAGGTCCCACAGTCTCAGGGATTTATCTAAGGAACCGGACAGGAAAGTATCCTCGATAGGACTGATACATAGCGACACTACCTTTTTCGTGTGACCAGGAAAATAGCGTATGTACTTGTTGTCATGCAGACTGAGATAGCGGATGGTGTCGTCGACCTTGGTGCTGCTGTGTATCGCGGTGTTCTTGGCGTGGGTGAAGTGTATCAGGTCGACGCCGTACTTCTTCGAGTTGACCGTCCGCACCTGCGTGCCCTTCTCGCAGTCGTATATGACGATCTGATCGTCCTCCGAGCAGGAGATGAGCGTGTCGCCGTTCGGCGAGAAGTCGATGCTGTTTATCCGATCGGTGTTCTCGCGGAATACCTTGGCCACCTTGAAGCTCCTCACCACATGGTCGACGAGCTTCATGGTGATGGACGGCGCGTCCTCCCTCTCGTGCCGTCCCCTTAACCTCCTCGACTCCACAATCTCTGTGTTTGTACTGTGACCGGGCGCGAAGACCGCCGGGCGCGGGGGCCGGGCGCGGGTCGCGGATCCGGGCGCGGAGACGCGGCCCGCCAAGTTGGCCCCCTCGCTGGAGCTCGGGGCGGTCCGCGCGACCACCGCGGCCTCCACACGGTGGAGGGTCTGGAGGGGTGGGGGGACTGTCCACCGGGACGCGGCCGAGGATAACCCTCGCGCCGTCGTTATCGTAGCAGATCGCTCACCGCTGCTCGCGCGCGCCTTCGGCCCCCCGCGCCGCTGCAGATGCCCAGCCGAGCCAACGTGGCTATTCTTCTTTTCCGTCTAACGCCGTGGCCGTGGACGCCGTCAGCGGGTCCGCCGACCGCAATACACGCGCGGTACGCGTGCACAACGAGTCCTGTCAACCGTACCCGCCGTACCGTGCGGACAAATGGACGGCGAGCCGCGAGTCGATCGAATCCTCGTCCGCGAGAGCGTACTGTATCTCTCGACTCGTCAGCGTATCCCTCGCTCTCCGCCGTGCGCGTGCCGCTCGCTCGGTAACGGCCAATTCGCCGACCGACCGACCGACCGACCGCCGATAACGTCGCGCCCATTTCTCCTCTTATCATTCTCCTCCTTTTCCAACGTCCAATTGTGTCGCAGGTGCAGAGAGTACGACGCGGTGCAGCTACCAAGCACCTCCTCGCCCACCTGTGTTTACGTACGCACACGTCACGTACGTGTCCGTTTTTCTGCGTTGTTTCGCACGCGGGAGGGAGACCGCCGAGGTACACGTCGATGGATACTCGGCTCCGCGATGAGCAGGAAAAGAGCCAATCACCTGGCGGTGTTTAAGCGGCGCACCAAGGACGAGGACAACGACGAGTTGTCGAGGAGCGTCATTCTAGGGGCGAGGAAAACCGGACGGTTGAATCTCTCGTCCAAGGGACTGTCCACGGGTATATATTCACGAGCATCCCCCGCCTGTGCGCACTAAATCACGACGACGGAGCGATCGACTGTACCATCTATACGGAGCCGTTTCACGTTCTCGTGTCGCGCACATGTTACCTCGAGCATGTTCCAGTCTTTCGTTTAGATTATAGAAAAGAGTCCCCTACTATGAGATACAGGCTCCTAATAGGCCATTTTCCGCGGCGTTCAATGCGAGATAGTTTCTGCTGAGCTAATAGGCATCGTCTGTTGGTTCCGCCGTGAATTTATTGTCCTTGGAGTGAAATCTGTTTAGCGGAGCCATAGACATAGTAAATATAGACTGAGCGTTCCATTGAATGAGAGAGAAGATTTAAGAAGACATTCTTTCTCTGTCTTACACCATCGCAAGAGAAAAGAATCGCGCCTCCTTTGTCACGATGGTGAGACAGAGAAAGAAAGTCTTCCTAAATCTTCTCTGTCTCTCTCTTCACAAGCTTCAGCCTACTGAATGGTACGCCCAGTCTATGGGTCTGTTCTTTACAGCTGAACTAGTACAGCTAGTTCAGCTATAAAAAAAACAGACCCTATATTTACTATGTCTATGAGCGGAGCATTCATTTTTATTGTTGGATTGCGGGAAAAGATTGTGAAACGGGACGTTGAAAACCTGCTATTTTACACTAAGAGTCTATCGCATATTAAGGGACTTCACTCCCGTACTCATAATTGGACAGACGTGCATGCTTCCGGCGATAGCGTATATCGAGGTGTATCCATGTTACACGTTAAACGTTTACAATTTCATCGATACGCACGAGTCTCGAGTCACAACATGCGAATTTTTCGTCACCCTGTTGCCTGTTGTTCATCGCTTGAATGTTGCAGTAAATATTCAACGAGTATTTACTATTAGATTTAATCGTATTCGATATGTGATCTGCACGACACGTGCATCGTGAACGAGAGATGCAGAGAGGCGAGACGTGCATAGTGTTTCCCTGTTAGTCGTCGGGTCGTGTAACATTCTTTGGCAATTAGACAATTTTTGGCTGTTGAAGAAAGACGCTAAAGAGATATCCAATAGGAGACGCACACAGTGCACTGATCCCCTAAGATATTGCCTTATGCTTTATTCGGTATAAACGAGGTAACTGACTATTATTGTTGAACCAATCTGTATTAGAAGTTGTACTGTATTCTCATCCTGTACTTTCGATGATCTCATTGTAGTTTTTACTGAGAAAGCTCCGAAGAAGGGTCGAAACGTTTGTGCTATTAACGAGAAATTTTGATTCTATATTGTGAAGAACAGAGTTCCGTTCATTTTCTGGTTCACATTGGCACTCTCTCCTTTCTACACATTGTCTTTTTGGGAGCCTTCACAACACTTTGGAATATCCAATAGGAAAGTTTCTTTTAATCAAATGAATTTTTCTATCGGAATATATTGAACTTGACGGCTATTTTCTAATCTTACACGACCCGATACGATAGCTTACATATGTTGCGAATGAGAATGCAAACGAGTGAGCGCACGGTGTTTTCTGTTATCCGTCAAGTATTTTTGGAATGTATAGAATATAAAACCTTGTATTTTAATACATTGTTAATGTTAGTTTGGACGATAATTGGTGTTACAAATTGGCATCTTTTCAATATAGTTGTATTCTACGGATAATTTAACTGTAAGTAATGTGGAAGTCGAATAAATCTGGTTTCACGCAATTGTGTTTCTTTTTTTTTAAATGTATGTATATATATTTTTTTAAATTATTGATGTAATTATTTTTTAATGTATACGTATATGTATGAACGCAAGTGCAGCAAAATTCGAAATTCAATCGGCAGGAATTGACGCGACGTTTATCCTTTTTAAGTTGAGATTTAACATTTCTTTCATTTGACGTGTCACTAATAACGTTTCACAACACATGCCATGTAAAAGCAATCGATGCATATAATTGCGAGTGAAACATGCTTGGTGTCATACGAAAATTATTATCTGTTAAGTTGCTTTGCACGCTTTGCTAGAAATCGTGTATTAGAAGTGATCACACCCTCAGATGTGTCCTCGACGTAACGTAGAAATAGATTCGTTCGCAATGTCAGGTAAGTGGATTTTATCTTCGATGAGTTTAATGCAACGTGGCATTGCGGGAAGAGCAGAATCCTAAACGTAGGAATTAACACGCGTTGCAGTACCTGACAGAATATGGAATATAAACGAGTTAACGGAAGAGGAATTGCGTGATTTGCATATCGAGCTTGACTACGAACCCCTGGAGGAGCGATGGTGGGAACAAGAGCCGCTCAAGATGTTAGATCTGAGCTTCAACAGCTTAACTGTAATCAGTGACAAAGTACAATGTCTAACAGAACTGAGCACTTTAGACGTACGTATGAGTTAACTGCGACTTTATACGTGCGGTGCACTTGCAACATTTCTATATATTCTATCTGAAATATTTTTTCAATGTCCTTTCCAGTTGCACAACAATTTGTTAGAGGAGCTACCATCTGCGATCGGTTCTCTGCGCGAACTAAGAGTAATAAATCTATCGGACAACAAGCTACAGAGTTTGCCCACCCAATTTTACATGCTGGAGGAATTGTGCGAGTTATACCTAAAAAGTAATCATATCAGTGCGCTCGAAGCCGAGATTGGAAATTTAGTCATGTTAACTCGTATGGTAAAGATACACTTTCTTCTAGATTATCCGTGTAATTTCTTGAATAAGACAATTACGTGTGTCTTTAGGATTTATCATACAACAGTTTAAGCGAATTGCCGGTCGGATTGGGATACTTGGTGAGACTGGAGACATTGAATTTATGTCACAATATGATAAAAGAACTACCACCTGATGTAACAAGCATGAGATGTAAGCTTCTCTCGTGTATATACGACCCACAATTTTGCAACATTCACCGTCGTTCGATAACGATTATTGTATTGTATATATTTTCTGGTAGCGTTGAAAACGTTAGACGTCAGCTTTAACCAATTGGACACGTTGCCACCGTTAGGTGAATTGCGGAAAGTAGAAAGAATTATGTTCCAGTCGAATAATTTGCAGGAATTTCCAGACATATCAGGTTGTTCAGCTTTAACAGTATTGCATTTGGATAACAATAACATTCCTGTATGTGTTAACAATTATTTGTGCTTGAGCCAAGACTAAAATTCAACTTTCCGCTGTTCTACTAAGGCAACAATCTTCTTTTCGCTTGCAGGAAATTGATCCGCAACGCTTAGAAGCTGTAGGCCACTTGAAGAAGCTCACAATGCAAAGCAATAAAATTGAAGTGATACCCGAGGAAATAATCAAATTGATAAATCTGGAAGTTTTTGACTTGTCGCATAACAATATATCTTTGTACGTCACACAAACTTCTTTCTCTCTCAACACGATTATTTTGTGCATTTGGATCGTTTGTTAAAATGAATTTCTTTACAGAATACCCTATTGCGTTGGCATATTGCCCAATTTAAAGCAATTTATAATCGAGGGAAATGATATAAAAAATATAAGAGGAGACATAATACGATGCGGTACTTCTCGCATTCTGACACACATTCGTCAGATTGTAGACAATACAAGTATAAACACAAGAGAATTGTTACACCCTAGTGCCGGCAATAGTATTTGTCCTGACAAGTATGTAAATGATTATCTGTTAATTGATATCAGTTGAGATATTATATTGCATTTAAAAACATCTGAAAGTAATTTATATGTGAACTTAGTAATAAAATCAAACACGATGTGCAATTTGTAACAATGCAGATACGTAATGAAGAATACAAAGCTGTGTAGCTTGGCTGGGCAAAATCTTCAGGAAATACCTGAAGAAGCTTTGGAAGACGCAGCGGAAGCCTCCATCGCAACTATTGACTTGAGCAGAAACAAGCTTTCAGAGCTGCCTGATAAAATGTCGGCGATCGTTACAGTGACGGATTTGAAATTAACTTCCAATCATTTAGCAAGTTTGCCAGAATGGATTGGTGAAAAGTTCAAGTGTTTGCAAGTTTTAGATATAAGTAAAAATCACCTGCACTCTCTACCATCGAGCATCGGTTGCCTGAAATACCTGCGAGACATTGATCTCTCGTTTAACAGGTATTAGAAATGTACTTTTGACTACCCGACGTCCTCTTTTAACGTGAAAATTTACATTCATCCGTTACGTGTTATTCTACAGATTTACCGAATTACCAGAGGCTATTTATGACGTTGTATCTTTAGAAAGTTTAATTGTCAACGACAATCTAATCATGAAAATAGACGTGCCACTTTTGGAAAAATTAAGAAGACTAGCGGTTTTAAATCTGTCAAATAACAATATCGCCCATGTACCCCCTGAACTTGGTAATTTGCAACACATAAGGTAATAATACTAAACATTTCGTGTATATTAGTTGCACAACATTGGTTGCGTTCAGCAGAAAAAGCTGCTTTGCAACTGTTGTAAAATTCGTGAAATTCTGATTAGTGTATTCTCTTAATCTTAAATGAATTTAAGAGCATTTTTATATATAATTATACAAATATTCTTTTAGGAATCTATCGTTGTCTGGAAATTGTTTCAAGTACCCCAGGCAAGCAATTCTAATGAAAGATACGGAGGAAATACTGAGCTATCTACGTAATCTAATACCTCAGTAACAAAGAGAAAACGAAATAGTTTATAAAAGTATCCATTCTCAAGTGTTAAAAATTTGTTATCACATATGTGTCGTGCGTAAATATTACATCTACATATAAATACATTTTTGCTAATCTGTACAAATTATATACGGTTCCATCCCAGATGAGACAAATCAAGTGCAAAATAATTACAATAAGGTAGATTAAATCGATAATGTGTAAATGTAAGTAGTAAACCTAGTAAATAAAGGGAGGAAAGGAAGAGCGTTTGCAAGAATGCCTGGAAGTGCGAGAATGTGAGAGTGCAGGATAACCAATATATACTTTGGAACAAGATATTTCAGACAAGATGTTAAAACGAATCGGAACAGAATGGAAATCGATAAAGACCAAGGAAAATCAATGATAATTCATGATACGCTTTATAATATTCAACAGCCTGATAGTTTTCCTTTCTAAATGGAGCCGCAGGCTAGTAAGCGAGGGGTAAACCACTTGGGGCATTGTGGTGTACAGATTTGCGGCATTACTAGGCATTAGTTTAGGCATCAGACCTTGCTGGGGCATTATAAAGATAAAATAAGAGAAAATACGATAATAAGATAAAGTAATGCCCACTGGGCATTGGTGTACAAGACTTTGGTCAGCGACTTCCCCCTTGCTAGTAGGCCAAGGTCCGTATTCAGAGGGTCGTTTCTGTATTTTACAACATAGTGAAAATGCTAAAAATGAGCGGCTCTTTCTAAGGGGACAGTTAGAAAGAGACAAAGCTACTCACTTTTAGCATTTTCACCATAGCGCAGGATACAGAATTGACCCTCTGAATCCCCCTTTTATCGATGATAAGCGCCTCTAAAAGTGGCTAATAGGCCTTCTGATTGGCTAGTAGCCACTTTTAGAGGCGCTTTTACCGATAAAAGGGGATTCAGAACACAGGCCTAAATCCTTATTGTGAATTTGAAGATACGTATTGCCAAAATGTGACTATAATAGTGAATTCTAACTTGTTAATTCAGATTTTTGTCAACCTGAATGTAATTTATTAAACGCACATGCATATTTATGTATCTTTTATATATATATTGTAAAACACATTTAATATATTTTAAAGTGTCCCGGTTCCAAGAATGGACTTTCGTCAAGTTCTTTCGACAAAAGTGCGATCGCACGAACTTCGTATACAAATCGCAGCTGCCGTAACCTAACCTAATCCTTCAGCTTTTGAACAGTTGACGGCGACTCGCACGGTTCGCGCGTGCATACATTTTACGTGCACATTTATAGGACCCGAGGCACCGGACGCAGTCTGAATTTTGGCACCAGTCATGTCGCGACGTACAAAATTCGCGTGAGAGCTGACGCTTTAACAAACGCCGCTGGATCTCGCCGACAAATTTCTCGTAGGTACACGACCAGTTGCTTGGTTATCCCCGGTATGCAGTGCCCTGATTATCGCATCTTCCTCTCGATGCCCCTGCGAATGAATAATGCAGTCGTTCCTCTCGTCGTCGCCGCCACTGTGTGATTCGCACGGTTTACAGGTACCCCCGGAGGGTAAAATGTCCGAGCTGGGGTTAACGTTCGAGGAGGAGCTCTCCGTGGACCTGTTCTCGGATCTAGAACTGTCGCAGAGCACGAACAATGCCGCCAATTCGGACTGTAAGACTTCCACCCGTTCGCCGAGCTCGCGTGCTTTTATGCGTTCGCGTTCAATTGCCGAATTTATCGAAATATACCCGAACTTTTCGCTTCAGCGAGTTCCATGTCAGTTAACGAGCCCGAGCCCTCCGACGACGTGCCCGAGTGGAAGGGCATGAGCATGGACGAGATACGCAAGGGTCTCGGCGTCTACGAGTATCGGGAGCATCCACCGATCGTCGTCTCCCCTCGCCACACAGTATTATTCATGGTATGGTCTTATACGAACGGCACAACGGTGACATTGACTTTTCAGTTTTTAAACAGCTAATAAAATTCACAAGGCTCTAATGTGAAAACACAAATACGTTTAATTTGACGCACGAGCCTCGCCGTGCGTATCCTGTTGGATGTTCATTCGCCACGCGCCTTTTCTTTCTGATTAGTTGCCGTTGCGTACGCATGGACCGCCAAAGCCGTATCCGACGCATCAAACGGACAAATGGAGCCAGGGCTACGTACGGATGCCGTATTCTTCGCATAGTTTGTATCCGATAGAACAGGTACATATTGCCAAATTAAAATGTCCAATATCTGTAATCTTGAAATTCTCAAACGAATCGCAGATGATTTCGTAGAAAGCGTTGAGGAAGAACTGTTCCACGAGCCACAATCCTCATATCTAATACTATTTGAGTAGTAGCTACTTGTCGCCAGTGGTAGTAAACCAAGGGGAATTTTTTAAAAGTCGACCAAACTGGCCAAATTGATATTAAATTTAATCACGACGTTTCGACCTCTTTATCTAATACTATATCTAGAGTCCGACCGAAATTTCGGTTTCGGACTCTAACTATATCTCATAATCAAATTCCAAGATAAAAATTCTATT